CATGGGATATTTGTTTTACATCTCAAGAATAATAATGAATAATTTCCTTACCAGTTTTCCCAGGAGGTGTTTCTTTTCTCTGAGTGCATGTCCAATCTGTCGTACAATTTCACCTCGATGGGGACCAGTAACCTGCATTTTAAAGAAAAAGATTTTCTAATAACACAAACTCTAAGAGCATCATGAATGTGTTAAAACATATACCTTATTAACCTGAGTAGCTTTATGTAAATGCTGACCTGACCCCAAAAGAAAATAAAGGCCACATTGTTTTGTTGTGACCAACATAAGTTGTGCTTCGTCAGCATGTTTTCATCCTAGCATTATTCAAAGCCAGATTTTCATTAGGTTTATTAAAGTTCATCTAAATTTAATAAAAGTGAACCAGTATGATGAATTACCATGACGTGTTTAAATTGTACGATGTTATAAATTTATAACAGAAATTGCCACAGTCTGCCATACTAAATCAAGATTTGAATAGAACTTGTCTAGCTATTACATTAAGAGTATTGTTTGAGAGAATACAAATATATAGGCACATTTAATACGGCCCTAAATTATACAGGATCAATGGAAAACTTCACATGCCTTTACACAGGTCAGGAAATATCACAAATTGTAAAAAAAAAAAAAATGTGAAACACAGTATTCAACATTTGTGTTGCATGCAAATTACCATGTAATGTGTGACTTGTTTAAATTATAAATACAATCATCCGGGAAATCTGGGCTGCTTGTATAATCTTGGTATTAAAGATGGATTGATTAAAGGTCACGTGTTCGGGTTTAGATATAAACGGGGAATTGTATACATGGAAATGTTTTTTTATTGAGTCTGGTGACACCATGCCTGAATATCACGGTACTCTCACCTGACCTTATCTTTACACAGTGTATGCACAATGCAAGCGTAATTACTGAAAGGTCATACATTGTATATAGTGCATTATATGGGGTTAGGTACAGTGTATTTCACCAGTCTGAGAGACATGCACCATTACTAGGGACATTTTCTTAATTGATTTTTTTTTAAATCTTGTAACCAGCTGGACTAATTAACAGGTGATGATGTATAGTCTATTTCATGGAATTTTATGAAATCTATGTGTCTGTGGAAGGAATGAGTGAATTAGGTTGTTTTCATGATTGAATGGCTACTTGACATATGTATTATGTTTTGGAATACCGCTGATAATTAAAAACCAACTCCAAATGAATAATCAAATAATTTAGGACAAAATATATGGAATCTAATTATATACATGTAGGTTAATGACTGAGAATGAATAGAGGGTAATTATGTTAATTAGCTCAGGTGAGTGTTATTTATTTTTCCTAAGATTATTACCTCTGTCCACACGTTCCATGCTTCTTTACATTTGTCAACTGCAGTATTGTAATCAGCCACCGTTCCCTCTCGCACTCTAGCTATCGGCAAACCGCTGGTAGGACAGAATGTATCTACATACTAAGAATAGAATTGAATTCAGTATACAACACAGAAAGTACCATGTGAAGATGCATATAAATTAGTTGATATACTATTGTCAGACAAACAAGCATGCTTTCTAAAATTATATACAATATTTCTATAAATTAAAAAAAAAATTATTTGACACAATTGGTAAGAAACATACTTATAGCCAAAAAAGTCAATGCGATGGATTGTTATTAGAAACCTTCATTTTTGTTGCAAAAAAACAATTATATATAACAGTTTTAAACAGTATACATTTAACATCAAAGCTAATAATCGGGCTAATGCTTCAGTCAATGTCAACCCCGACAGCTCCTACCTCGAAAATACGGGACAAATGTGGGGCATTAGATGGGGTTTATACTATGCCCGTGGAGGTGGGGTAACAGCCGTGTTTCGTGTCCCGTCATTGCTAGCTGCGCATGCGTATACATTCATTCTGCTGATATGATAGCAAGCATGGAGGACAGTGGCGATCGATGGGGAAAATATTATGTGAGGAGTTTGTTTTGGGTGGGAGGATTTGCCTATTCTTCTTGCCCTTGGAGGTGAGGTGGGGCATTTGGCAAATTTTACAACAATAATTTCCAAATCCTCCACTAAACCCCGAGGTGGGGAGGGTGGGGGTTGACATTGACTGGAGGATAACTGGGGACAGAATGTTCAATTAAATAGCGGGAAGGTACATACACTTCGTTTAAAGCATAAATGCTTACAGTAAGTGAAAGGCACTCTAAGTTCTTCAGGCATACAATAACAGTATAAATATAAATAGTGTCCTAGTGCACTGTCAAAATATATATTGTCCTCCAAATGAGGACTGGTGCCTCGATATCTTAAGGATGTTGGGTATACGTTTCAAACAAACATGACCTTGTTATCATTTTAGACACATTGATTATACATCCCATATAACGGGTTAACCTTGTCACCTCACTTGCGCTAAGGTAGCCGACATATTGGGCCATTCCAGTTTATATCTGCAACCCCCTGTTGATGTGGTCGGATTTCCAGCACTGTATGATTGGGAAAATACACCGGAATTCCAACTGTATATGGAGAAACAGAATCTGGAAATCCAAACGAGTATGTAAAAAAAATTCCTGGAAATCCAGGCAGTTATGGCTACTAAATAAAATATGGCCTAGTTTATCTCGCCACATACCGGTTGATGAGGTTGGATTTCCAACAGTATGACTAAAAAAACTTGGAATTCTGACTGTATATGTAAAAAAAATTGGGCCAGTATGAAATAGTTATTACTGAAATTAGATAAGGATGGTGGCACGAATGAGCTCATCAACACCGTGAATCATGACTAGTTTGGATTTCCATTATCAAATATAAAATTGTGAACTTGATAAATTAGCATACTCTGTATGGTGGCACAATGGAACTCATCAACACCATAAGTAGGAACTATAGTTTTGGATTTCCATTACTGTATGGTGAATGGTGATTTGGAAATAAAACTTTGTATAACTTATATACCCATGGAAATTATACCCTGTATGAAGTAAACACACAAGCTCATCAACGGGGGGGGGGGGTGCAGATATAAACTGGAATGGCTCAATGTAGAATATCATTTTTTATCACATCTCACTGTTACGCATGCTATGATTGGTTGAGACTCGGTCACATGACATTGAATAAAAATGAATATTACATGGTATATTGCCCGCCAAGTGGATATTACATGGGTATATCACATGGATGACGTCACTGAAACTACTGCGCAACGATACCGCGCATAACAAATTTTTGTTCGCTGCACTGGTGCTGCTCTGGCCGCTATTGCTTTCTGGGTTGCTATCAGGGTTTTGAAGGAACTTTAGCCATCCGAAATAAACAGTGAACGTGCCAGAATAGATATTAGGTAAAATACTCTGTTTTGATGTATAGGGTATTTTTTATATGAAGCGAAAATGTACGGCAAAGCCGCCACTGAAACGTCGCAGCCCGGGCGCTGCAGCACGTTCTATGCTGTAAGTATTT